ACCACCACCACCAAGTGCCACAATTCAATTGCACAGAAGTCCTGATGTAAGTAGTAGCGGTAACCTCAAGCACAGTTCTCTAGGCAAAGTTCATACAAAAATGTTCGGTTCTGGGGTGATCAAACACAAGCGTGTCGTGCCCGTGCAATCCCTCACTCATGCCACAGTCAATTTTCATCACGAAACCCATACGTCCCCTTTAATTGTGGGCCAATCGATTCGCCCGTATTATGAGCAGAGTTCGATCGATACAGACAGTCAGTTGGAGCCGCGCTCGATCGAAACAGAGAGCGGTTCTTCTTCCAGATCACCAAAAGGGGCCAGTCAAACAGAATCGCTATCACGAACGAGCCTGGCGGAATCTGAGCTGGACTGTTTATCACAAGGTGGACGTCACGTGCCAAATCGCGGTGATAGGACACCGATTAATACTCATCCGGAATTCACCAGTCAAGAAGGAACATTTTTGTACCCGGGGAACAGCGGAACAGAGGAATCGATGCATAGCAATTATCGATCAGCTCATGCTCCTATTCCGTCTCGAACGCTGACCACTAATCGCAGCACAAAACGAATCACAAGAGGAGACTCGAACAGCTACAATTCGGGCGGTTTTGAAACTCATGTCCGTCCACTCCTTACACCCATATTTCATCGGGATCCCCTCGTCGATTTCTCAGGTTCTTCTTACACATCCGATCCCGTGGTTTTTGCATCAGGTCCCTCTCATTCAATTGGACAGGCTACCGGTTCATCAGATCGAACAGTACATACTAGTAATACACACCAAGTTCGATACATCCCTCGGATTCATTATGAAACAGTAGGTTCCGAGCCGGAGCACAGCTCCCAATCCTCCCCTGTTGTTTTGGCTCCACGTGCAACATCAGACAGTTTGACTTCCAGTAGTGATCAGTCGGTCAATACACAAACAACCAGAAAACAAACATTTTCCTTATTGTGAAAAGCTCACGCGCGCGCACACACCGCATCATCATCTTCCTCCTGTCACACACACA